TTTTTTTTTAACATCCGTTGATGCAGTTTTAAATATATATATACATGACGAGAAAAAGAAATACAAAGAAACTATCATAAGTAGGTATTGTTAGTAAGTAGGTATAGCATGTTAACGTAATACAGCTCTGATCATCCTTCCTTAAACTGTAACAATAGGCTTAAATGATATAATACGTATCAAATGCGTGTGTCTAAATGTTACGAAACTTTCTTTCCGAGCATGAATCATTTCATTATAAAACTCTCTCTTTTTTCCCGACCCCGATTTATAAGAGACTATTTAGAAGTGGACAGCGTGGATACACTTCACGCGCGACAGATATTCGATCGTCTAACACTTTGTCATGTTTCTTTGTCTGCAAAATGAATATTTGATCCAGACTACGCACAACCCACAATGCTTGTCTCCTTTAGGAGAAAAACAGGAAAGCTTTATCGTTATCGCGACAACGGCATGTAGATTCTCTTCATACAGTTCATCGTCAACCCATATTACGGTTCGCTTCTGCAAATTATTTCGTAATATTGCCGCTTGCAATAAATATCCTTATATTGTATTATCGCGTTAGGCATTTCTCTACAAGGTTACGCAAGTATTTTATTTCACGCTGTTGTGATATATTATTACGCTAGTGTAATGTTATGTAGATAAAAATAAATAACTAACTGAATGTTCTCTCCAATTCGTTCTGTAGAGATAAATAATATATAATTTCGTCATTTTTCTTGCCAAATGTTTCACATTTGTATTCAACTTTTCTGCGTTTTTTAACATAATTTTAATATAATGTAATTGTATTTTTTGTGAATCGAATAATAAAGTTTAATAATATCATGAGTCAGAAACACTTAAACAAAGCGTAGCAATTATATTTTTGATCTTTTGCTGAATAATTTAATAATAAAAAACCTACGCAAGTGAATCTCCATCAAGTTCTTGCGTCGACCAGAAAATAAATGGCTATTATAGCTAGAGTTTGGGCGTGCTAGAACAAGATAATATCTACATCGAATTCATTTGAATTTTGGAAATCAAAGAAGATAATATTACGTAAATATTGTAGGCGTAGATAAAATTGTTTGCGTAGCGATATTATTTATCAAAGATCTTTTTATGTGAAATAAACAAGAGAAAAGAAGAAATTAACTCTTAAAATCCTAAACCTTTCATTTGAATGATTGAAAGTTTTAGAATTTTAGTTTACTTTAATTATGAATTGGACAAATACATATTATTATTATTGATATACTATTTATTGTACGTTTCTTTCTAATCTGTGCTAAATTTTATTGTGCTACATTAGCTGGAATGTCAGGTGAGAGGTCGATTCAATTCACTGTGAAGCAGGTTCTCACGATTCTGAATGACTTTAGTACAATGATAGACCTGTCCGAAGAAATAAGAAGACTCACTGACTACCGGGCAATGTCCTTTTCTATTATCCCCGAAAATTTTCTTTCACGTTTTCTGCGACGAAAATACGTCCTCTATCCGGGCGTCGAAATCGCCCACGTATCTGTTTACCGGGTGACTTCAACGGCATCGGTAAATACAACTTGTTTTTGTGTAAATTATCATTGAGTATATTATTATGTTGATTACTATCTAATCTGAATAGAAAAAATATTATTTGCACAAGAATAATAAATATGAGCACTGTGAGAATAAAATATTGTCAAATTATATTTCACATGAATAAGTGTATTATTACATTAAATGTATCTCACATCATTCATATATTATTAATAATTAAATAAAATCATATTTTCCTTTCCTCGTATTACTGCCTCCACAATTCCATATAATTTCATGTAATTGACGAAGAAGTAAATATTATCATGTTAGAAGTATGATTCACGTCATAACTCAAGAAGTATACATTCCTGGTCGATTACATGAAACAAATTGGTCGTGAATCAATTATTTTCTCAATAAAGCATTTCGAGATTTCGCTAGAAAGATATTGACGTTTCGAGGTATTACGGAAAGTGGAGCTGGAATGGAGGAGTGTACTCTATAGTCAGCATATAGATACACGCATCGTCATCGATTAACTGAAATGCCATAACGTCTATTTTGCAACGAGATTATGTCGAATAGCTGCAGTTTCAGGCTCTCGGATTACACGGCGCCCAGAGTCATGTTGATGGGTGCTTTCCACGTGGTCTCTTATGTTACTATCGGCTTCACGCCCGATTTAATCATCCGTTACACATCGCTCGGTCTTCCCTCTGGTCTCTATATGAACCGGTTTGTTACACGAAATTTTGTATTGGCTAATTGCGCGTTGTGCTCATAGTGAAATCACATTTCATTCGTCAGCTACCTCCTGCGGAGACTGATTCTATGAGACTGATTTGTTCTGATTGTGAGAGAGAAACGCAAATGTTGGACTAATTCTTCAATAATTTCTTCATAAACATTTTTTTTTCGTGTAAATATGTTATATCATTTCGAAATTATTATATATCAGTATTATTCTATTTATCTAAATTTCATGCAAAAAATATTTCTATCGACTATGCTTTAATTAATATATTACTAAGGAAAGTGTTTTTTTAACATTTCAAATTTGTGATATAGTATGAGATTGACATAAAAAAACTAATTTTTTTTACTATGTTGCGAATATATATTTTGGAATATTGTATGTAAATAATTACGACTAATGTTTCATTGTAAATCATTGTAATTTAATAACGTCTCAAGACAAAGATATTCGAATCTTGAATATTTCTCGCTTCAACAAGCATGAATAATATATGCCAACGTAATGATGTGTTCAAAGATATAAAGTGATGATTTTGTCATCAGCGTTTTGTTAGGATTAAAATATAAATTTTTCGATATTTCTTTATTAATCTAATTTTTCCTCTTATTTATAACGCTAATACTGCGATAGAAAATCAAGAATACATAATTAGAAGTAAATATAATCATCTGAATTTTATTCGTTTAATGTGAAAATTATGTTTTTATTGTCAACGTAAATTTAAAAATCAAGCAGTTGCAACAAGAATGTAATAGTAGATCAGTATCTTACATACTAAAGACTTGTAATTAAATAATCTTAAATTAAATAATTTTAAATCAACCTGTTTTTATCAGTTAAAAATAAAGTAAATAAAACATTTTATAATTCATTAATCTCATTAATTGAAGATCACTAATACCAAGAATTATACTATATGAATTTCGAATTGACACGTGGAATTGCACAAAAATAAATGGAGAAGGAAAAAGATTGCAGATAATTAGTCACATGAAGCGATTGATTATCAGAACCGAGATAATATCGTTTCGGCGCTGAATAGATAGATGAAATTAATTCCATTTCAAGAGGCGAATATTTATGCCACGATGCAACGGCAGGGCAACGATTGATGTTTAAAGAGCTCGTCTGATGTTCCCACGCATTGTCCGGTTAGTACGAAAGGCTAGAATTAGGCTCCGTAGAGCCTATCTAAGAGTGATTGAAGTTGCCCCAGATGTGGAGCGATATCAAACTATTTCTCTGGTATGTCGTCGCCATCCGCTACGTTAGCAAAACACACCCACATTCGTTAGCATTGGAACGGCTGAGAGTTGATGACTGCATAGGAAAACAGTATCTTATTTCATGAATGAACGAGAAAGGAAGAAATAATCCGAGAATAAAAAACTTGGAGATTAAAAATAAGAAAAAAATGTCGACTATTCAATTATTCGCAAATATTGAAATCTAAAACAAGACTTCAGTCAATTAATTTTATTTTCAATTGTCAAATAGTTCCTTTTTAAATAAATAAAAAAATTATTTTGTTTCCAAAATTAAACGTTTGACTTTATTTCGAATGTTAAATCGTAAAGATGTTCATGTACGCGGGAAAGAAAGGGTTAATTTAGGTCAAAAGTAAAGAAAGTGCGGCTGTAATTTTTGCATTATGTGTGATTCACTATAAATAAATGGTTGATAAATAGCGTTGAAATTTGCTTCAATTAGAACTGACTTTTATAGAAATTTATCATGTTCCTCGAAGTGCGTGCCTTTGGTAGGGACAATTTTCGCGCTTATGAATCATCTCGTCAGATGGTAGGAAGTAAAATGAGAACATAAATTGTGATAAAGACTCTAATCTAACTATTATCTAATAATACTATATATAAAAATAATTAATGGAATACGAGAAAAAAAATAACAAGATGCTAAAAAAGAAATTAAATTAAAAAGATATTTTTTACATAGCTTATTATTTAACATTCTGAGGTTGTTGACTTCGATGTCAGAACCCTTAAATCCAAAATGGCGGTTCCAACATGGCCGACTAAAATGTGGAAAGCAGTAGGGGTTATATGACGATTCTGTTTCAAAGTTTAATGTAAGACAGCGAAGAAGATAATTGTCTTTTAGAGAAATTGATTACCTCAAATTATAATTTCCGAAATACTCTTTTGATAAAAATATTCGAAATTTCCATTGAAACTATACGAGAAACGATCACCTATCACGATGGACAGCTGATTCCTGTATAAGAGAGATGATTATTGCAAATGAATTATATAATCACAATCCACATCCTCAGATTCGTTTCGATTATAGTTACGACCTCAATATTGACAATTTTAAACAACGGTAATCCGATCGACGCGTAAAAATGTGCCGCGTAGAAAGAATTCGTCACAACGTGATCTTTAGTGCGCTCAATTTCCGGTTCTCCAATTCACACAGACTTCGAACTTTAACGTTTCCATCGATCCCACCATCGGGTGGGACCACCTGACCGCGTGTCGTCCACTCGACTCGTTGGTCTTTAGCGATCATCCCTCTGAATATTCACGATGATTGATGCGATGTCGCATGCATTTCTCGCGCCGGACCATCGCTCGATCGTAACTCCTATCATCCCCCGAAGACAAAAGCATTTCGTGGAAAGTTTACGTTTCACGTAATTGTTGGCACGAATTCGCGGTGGTGCGCGATACATTCCGGACGTTTCGGAAGGACGTTTCGTACTCACCACAGCCTCGGCGATCGGTATCCACGTGGCGGCGTGCACCAGTAGGGCAAGGACGCAGGTGATTCGCAGGACAAGCGGGATTCCGTGATTCGCGTCGCCGATGATTCTTGACGTCACCGCGGCCCTGGGCCGCATCGTGCCGGCCTGGGGTCCTCCTCCTCTTCCTCCTTCTCCTCCTCCTCTTCTCTATCTTTCGATCAAATCTGCAGGTTTCCCGGATGCTCCCAGGGGTTGCTTCACCTCCGATCCTTTCTTCGTTCTCGCCTCCGAGAGAGCGGTGTCTCCGAGTTCGTTCTCGTCAGTCTCAGCGGCGACGACGTGCGGCTCAGCAATATCGTGCTGAAACCGCGCCGCTAAGCTCGTCGTCGGCCAGCCTGTCGACGCACCGCGTGTCGAAGGGCCAGACAGACGGCCCGGTTAGCCCGTCCTCCTGATCGCTACACACAGACGGGCGGACACAAGGCAGACCCGAAGGCGGCGGAGGAGGTGCTCGTTCTCTCTCTTCTCTTCCTCTTTCCTCTTCGTCTCTGTCTCTCCCACCCTCTTTGGCTATCTCGCTTTTTCTCCTTCCGTCACTGTCTCCTCTGATCGGTCTTTCTTTCCCTCTCTCTCTCTCTCTCTCTCTCTCTTTTTCTCGTTCTCTCGCGCGCTGTATCCTTGCGCGCTCGTGGAGCTCTCGCGGCACGCTCGGCGGTGGCCCCCGTATGGTATGGCTAAGTTCCGTAAGCTCGGGCTGACTCGGGCTGGCACTGCTGGCAACTCGGAACCGGCACGACCGATACCGGTAGGGTCCCTCGCGGCCGCACAACAGTCCTCGTGCGACGCGCGACCGCGCGAGCAAACGCTCGGCTCTGGCTCGGAGCTGACCAGCGGCACTCCACCGCCTCCTCCTACTCCTCTCTTGGTCCTCTCTACCTCCTCCTTCTTTTCTCTTCAGTTGTTTCTTCTTCCCCTACCAACCCTGGAGAGACGGTACTCCGCGTTCGTTCCTTCCTCCCCTTCCTCTTGCGCACTCCCTCGCTCACTCTTTGCCTTCTTCTTCCTCTTCTTCTTCTTCTTCTTCCCGTCTCGCGGACCCGGAGTTCAACCGGAGGCAGCCAGGCCGGAGACCAAGATCGCCATCCT